ATGCATACACACATACACACAAACAGACAGACCGACATGCATGCATGCATACATACAGCCACGCACACATGCAAACACACACGTATACACATACAAGCATACACACATACATACACACATACAGCCATGCATGCATGCGTACACACATACAATACATACGTACATGCATGCATGCATGCGTGCATGTATGCTCATATACATGCATACATACATACGTGCGTACATAAAGACATACATACATACAGACAGACATACGTACATGAAAACAAACACCCAACTATGCATACATATACATGTATACAAGCATGCATGCCTACATACATACACACGTTCATACATACATGTGTGCATGTGTGCATACCGGCATTCACACATGTGTGCATACACATAAATATATATATATATATACACCTATATGGTAGTACCCCGCATGAGCATACACGTTCTTATGTCATACATCGCATGTCCTCGTCCTCCTCCACTCTTCGCCGTGCCCTATCTCTCTCTCTCTCTCTCCCTCTCTCTCTCTCATAACCTTCTTCTACCCCCCCCCCTCTCCTCCTCCTGCAAGGGCGTGGCAGCCTTACCAAGGGATCTCGTTTTGAAACTCCTTACACACGGTCTGCTTTCTGAAGGAAACCATACGAAAACGCACAAAACAACGCCCTTCAACGAGGAGGGGGCAGGAGGAGAAGGAGGAGGGTTGCAGGAAGAGGAGGTTGGGCATTGAAAAACAAAACAACACACGGGGGAACCAGACAAATCAAAGCCCAGGGCTGGAACAAACAAAAAACACAAGGACAAACAAAAAACAAAGACACCACACATTCCAATGCTTACTCCGTCTCCGCCGCCCTTACAAAGAAAGTGCTGCAAACTTTGCGTTTTTTTGTCGTGTCGTGTGTTTGTTTGGTTGTTCAGCCCTGGGTCTTTGGTTGCCTGGGTGTCTTGTTGTTCCTCGTTTTGTTCAATGCCCAGAAAGTCTTCGTGGTGGTTTCCAATAGAATCCCGTTGCGGTGCTTTCCAAAGGACTACTGTTGGAAGGATTTCCCAGAGAATCCCTTTTGCGGCGTTTCCCACAATATTCCTTTTGTGTGAGGAGTTCCCAGACAACCCTTTTTTGTGGCACTGCCAAATCTAAACAATAATCATTTTTTGCGGTCCCGTCCAAAGGGTTCCTGTTGCGATGCTCTCCAATAAATTCCCTGTGTGGTGCTTTCCAACAGATTCCTGTTGTGAGGCGTTCCCATAGAATCCCCTTGTGGCGCTTTCCAAGCCAATCGAATCCCTATGTGGCGTTTTCCACAGGGTTCCTGCTGCGAGGCCTTCCAATAGAAATCATGTGCGATATTTTCCACAAGGGATCCTCATGTGAGGCAATCCAATGGAATGCCTTCGGTTTGGTTTTCCCACGGGTTCCTGTTGTGCGGCTTTCCCATAGATCCCTTTAGTTGCGTTTTCCAAACGATTCCTGGCGTTGGGTTTTCCAATCGAATCAATGCGTTGCGCATTCCAACCCCGTAGACTCCCTTTATGGTGGTTTCCAAAGGATTCCTGTTGTGATGTTGTCCCATGGAATCCTTGTGTGGCGCTTTCCAAAACATTCTTGTCGTGCGGCAACCATTCCTGGTCTGAGGCTTCCAATAAAATCTCTGTTGTGGCGTTTGCCAATCGAATTGAATCCCTTTTTGTAGTGCTTTCCAAAAGGTTACTGTTGTGGAGCTTTCCATTAGAAACCCGTCGTGGCGCTTTCCAATCCAATCGAATCCCTCCCTGGTGTTGTCCAAAGGGTTCCTGTTGCGATGCTTTCCCATGGAATACCTGCGAGGTGCGTTCCAAGGGATTCCTGTTGTTAGGCTTTCCAATAGAGTCCCTTCTTTCGTAGCGCTTTCCAATCCAATTGAATACCTTTTGCGACGCGTTCTGAAGGATCCCTGTTGTGATGCAGTCCCATGGAATCCCTTAGTGCTGCGTTTCCCAAGGACTCCTGTTGTGCGGCTTTCCAATAGAATCTCGTTGTGGCGCTTTCCAATACAATAGAATCCCTATGCGGTGGTTTCCAAAGGATCCCTGTTGTGAGGTTGTCCAGTCGAATCGTTTGGTTCTGCTTGATTCATGTTGCGCGGCAATCGTTCCTGGTGTGAGGCTTTACAATAGAGTCCCGTTGTGGTGCTTTCCAAGGGATTCCTCTTTATGAGGCTTTCCAGTGGAATCCCTTTGTGGCGCGTTCCCTTCCATTAGAATCCCCCTGTAGTAATTTCCAAAAAGACTCCTGGTGTGAGGCTTTCCAGTAGAAGCCCGTTGCGATGCTTTCCAACGGAGTCCTGTTGTGAGGCAATCCAAAAGATTACTCATGTGAGGCGTTCCAACAAAACCCCTTTGTGGTGCTTTCCGGAGAATTCGTGTTGTAAGGGCTTCCGATACAGATCCGTTAGTGGCGCTTTCCGGTCCAATAGAATCCCTTTATGGCGCTTTCCAAAGGACGCCTGTTGTGAGGCTTTCCAATAGAATCCCTTGGTTATGCTTTCCAAACGAGTCCTGTTGTGAGGAGTTCCCGAAGAATTCCTTTGTGGCGCTTTCCGAAAGATTCCAGTTGTGAGGCTGTCCAATAGAATCCTTTTGAGGCAAAGTCCAAACAATCCAATAAAAACACTTTTGTGGCGCCTTCCGAAGGATTCCTGTTGCGAGGCGTTCCAATATAATCCCTGTGTGGTGCTGTCCGAAGGATTCCTGTTGTGAGGCTTTCTTATAGAATCCCCTTGTGGCGCTTTCCAATCCAATAGAATCCCTATGCGGCGCTTTCCACAAGGTTCCTGCTGCGAGGCCTTCCACTAGAAATCCTTTGCGATATTTTCCACAAGGGATCCTCATGTAAGGCAATCCAATGGAATGCCCCTGTTGTGCTTTTCACACGGGCTCCTGTTGTGCGGCATTCCAATAGAATCCTTTAGTTGCGTTTTCCAAAGGGTTCCTGGTGTGAGGCTTTCTAATAGAATCTATTGTCTGGCATTTTCCTATCCAAGAGAGATCCCTGTGTGGTGCGTTCCAAAGGACTCCTGTTGTGACGCTTTCCAATCGAATCCTTGTATGGTACTTCCCAAAGGACTCCTGCTTCCCAATCGAATCCCTTTGCGATGTTTTCCAAAAAGGATTCCTGTTGTGAGGCTTTCTAACATAATCCCGTTTGTGGCGCTTTCCAATCCAATAGAATCCCTCTGTGGTACTTTCCAAAGAATTCCCACTAAGAAGCCTTGCGCTACCCCGCCGCCCTCAGCCCGAGGTTGCACAGCCCCGCTGAAGGAGGATAAGAGGATGACACGGGGCGACGGAGAGAGGGGAGCAGATGAGGGAGGGGAAAGTATACATACATTCCCGAAGAATATGTATGATCATGTGGGGGGACAAGCATATATAGAGAGAGATGGTCAAGCGTAGACAATTATATATCAGACCTGTTAATCATGGCGGGCCGACTGGAAGGCAAACGGGGGCCTCATAAAAAAGAAGGTGTAGCGTCATGTGCAGGGTTCGGGCGACCCCGCGAGTCTGCTTTGACGGCCTTTCGAGGCAGTTCTGGGTCCCCGAATCTCGCTCGGGGCACACACTCGGGGCCCTTCTCGGCCGCCTTGGGGTGAAGCCTGAAGACCTCGGGGAGCGCCAGGGACGCGGGTACTTGTTGGCCTTTCCAAAACTTAACCTGCTGCCTGGCCTGCCCAAGGACCTCTGTCACCTCTCTTTGGGCCCGTCCTGGGCACCTACATAGGCTCTCTTGAGGACCTCTGAGGGCAATGTTGAAGCCTCAAGAGCCCTTCGGGAAGGAAAAGGCGAGAATGCTAACAAGACTGATTTACCCTGCTTGGTGTTTCAAGGAATGTGGCATCTCCGAGGCCCTCTTGAGACGTCTTGGGCCACCCTGTGCCGATATGAAGGCTGCCTTGGCGTGTCTTGTCAAGACTTGTCTCGTTTCGTCCCGTATTGTCTTGACTTGGTATCTCGGGCCCTCTTGGACCGATGCTGGGGCGTCGTGGACCTCCTCCAAGGCCGTGGCACGCTGATCTCATGGCCGTGGTGGAACTGTAGGGGTCCGCCCGTCCTAGCACAGGAAAACCCTCCCCTGGGGCTGCACTGACTCTCCCGCGAGCGGTCAGGGCGGCGCCTTTGGGGTCAAGCTAGCTCGAAGACGGCCCGAGATAGCTGGAGAAGGTCTCCAAGATGACACCGTATAGCTCAGGATAGCTCCGTACGGTCCCAAGTAGTCATGTCCCAAGGCTGCCACAAGGCAGCTCGAGGTGGCCACGGGGTCGCCCAACCATGAACCGAAGGAGCAAAAACCATTCCCAAACACAATGGTTCGTGATGAGAGTTTCTCCTATTCAAGCTTACGATGGACTTTCGAAGCCGTAAGATGAGCCCGAGATCACCGATGAGAGCCCAAACACGAGCCCAGAAGGGTCCCAAGAACGCCCCACAAGGCACAAAGCTCCCAGTAGCATCCCGAGACACCTGAAAAGGGTACACAGAAGATCTGTCTGCACTCTCCCCTTTCCCCCCAACAACCACATCCGCCGACACTCGCTGGACGGGGGCGGCAAAGGCGTTCGAGATAGGTGGCCACTCGCCTCTGTCCTCGCCGTAGCCTCGCTTCCGCATCGCCCGCCTCCTCGCCTCCGCCTCGCCTCTGCCTCGCCTCCTCCTCGAGTCGAGTCGAGTAGCTGAAGACGTTTGTCTTGGCCGCCTGTCTAAGCGTGAGGGAAAATAACAAGCAAGGACAGGTGAGAGGGGGAAAGAGAAGCAGTGACATCAAGGGTCGACAGTCTACGGATCCTCTTCGGCCGCCCAGAGGAAGTCTCGAAGGGTATCCACACAGAATGGCACCTCCACAGGAATGTGTACATCAGGCGACATATGTCTTGCCTCCTCCTCGTCCTCCTCCTCCTCGCCTCCCCGTTCCTCCGTGCTTGCTCCGCGTCGCTGCCCCCTCCTGCGCCAGAGCCCGCGGCCTCCAGCTCCGCGTCCATCTTCTCCTGCACGTCCTTGATGGCCTGCGCCAGGGGGCGGCGGAGCGCGTGGCCCCCGCAGCGGAGAGCAGCATCCTCGTCCTTCTGCTCCTCGTCCTGCTCGTCATGCTCCTGATCGGCGTCCTCATCCTCAGCCTCACCGGCCTTCCCGTGGTCCTCCTCGTCCTCGACATCCTCGTCCTCGTCCTCCGACCCCAAAAAGAAGCTCAAGGCACAGAGAATCAGTTGCCCACACCGCCACACACAAAAGACACACACACACACACACTAAAACAACAAGGTTGTCTTTTCGTTTCCCCCTCTTGTCTTTTTTTTAGTTCCCTCCGGGTGTTGTGTATTTGCCGTTTCCCTCCGATGTTTGCTTTCCCCCTCCAATCTTTCTTGCCCTCGGAAGTTTTGTTGTTTTCTCCCTCGGGGGGGGGGCTCCCTCGGGAAGGGGGAGTGCTGAGGGACAAGGGACTCGAGACTTTTCGTATCCCTCTTTGGGGGGGCGCTGGGAAGGGCGCGCCGGGGAGGCATGGCGGGCGCTCCAGCTGGGTCCAGCCCCACTGGGGCTCCAGCTGGGTCCAGCTAGACCAGCGGACCAGGGGCGTGCGGAGATGGCCCCAGATGGCCTCCAAGATGGCCGTGAGACGCCTCCAAGACGGCTGAAATGGCCCCGAGGAAGCCCGAGATGAACCCGAGATGCCTCCAAGACGGCGCCAGATGGACCCAAGACGGCTTCTACGGCTAGGAGAACACGTCGGCCAATACCTCGGGCAAACGTTGGCCGGCGTTTCACCACATAGGCGTCGCAAAAAGGCACGGGGCGGCGACGGTTCGCCGTAGGCGTCTTTGATGACAAAAGGGGCCATGCTGCACCTGTTCCCTTTTCATCCTCCTCCTGCTTCTCCTCCCCCTCCTCCACCGTCTGGTTAACCTCCTGCTGCTGCTGCTGCTGCCGCTGCTGCTGCTGTTCCTCCTCCTGCTGATCCGTGCTCAGCAGCAAACAAGAAAACATGTTCCGTGGCCCCATAGGGAGCTCCGCGTCTGGCACGCAGTGCAGGAATGCGGGAGGCTCGGCGTAGACGGCCTCACAGTTGCCAAGGTCAAAGCGCACGCTTCTACTCAGCACGTGCAAGAGGGCCTGGTCACGGCTAGAGCCCGCAGAGGCAACATCGAAGCTGATCGGTGTGCCCAGTTTCTCGCTGCTCAGGTCGGCGCTCCCGACACCTTTCGGCAGATCATCCAGGCGAGGCAGACCACGCTCGACGCCGCGTTCTTCTAGGTTTCGATTGCTGGCGGCATGGCTGCCGATGGCAGAGCTGACAACTCGGACGAGAAGGTCACGAAGCAGGCCAGCAAGACCCAGTTGTTTCTCACGGCTCACGAGGTCATCGAGGTCCCGAATGGTGGCATTCACTGTTTGCGCTGCCTCAGGCCTTGCGTGCCCGAGCCGCATGCTCCGTCGCACTCTGGCAGTACTTCGAAGAAGCGACCTGCCCGAGCAGCCTTGGCGACGGCGGCCACGGCGGCGGCGGCCTTCGCCGCGTTGGCGCAGGTCGAGCAGGAGGCGACAGCTGCTGAGACGACGGGGGACGGCAGCACCGAGCTGCCGAAGGCCACGGTTCTCAAGACAGCCCAGCAGAAGATCGACTACCGGTTGTCAGCAGCTTCTGGAGCGAGCTCAAGCGGGTCTGTGCGCTCGGCATCGGCTGAAAAAGTTGCTGTCAGTGCTAGCGAGGCTCCTGTGGGCCCTGCTGCAGAAGCCCCAGTCGGACCTTGCACGCGCGCTCCCGTGGGCCCCGCTGCAGAAGCCCCGTGCGGCCTGGGTTCTGCTGGTCTGCGGCAGAGAGGATGGGCCTGCCTCGCTTCTCCCTTCGGAGCTCCTCAGGTCTCCTCCGAGCCCCGCTGCAGAAGCCCTGGGGGGAGCCCACGGCGGCGAGAGTGCGCCCGCCGATTTGTCCAGTGTTCGCGGAGTGGCCAGCAGTCTGGTTGCCTCGCATGGTTGTGTTGTTTCGTCTCGCCGCTCGAGCTCGCCCGATCGGTCTCGGTCGGTGGCCCTCGAGTGCCCTTCTGGCCGTCTCGCCGCGTCGTCGCCCGCTGGTGATGGCACAGGAGTTCCAGGAGTGGCGAGCGGCGAGCATGTTCTCATAACCATCTCTGGATATCGCACTTAAACGCGCTGTCATTGCTATGCGAGAACTATCGGAGGCAAGCACAGAGGCCTGTCCGCAGAATGCAAGCTACCAGAGAGCGCTCGTGGTTTGCAGTATCGCCTCGAGAAGGTCGAAAGGATTAAGCTCGGGCTGCCGCCTGAGGAGGTGCAGCCGAAGGCGCAGGCTTGGTGATGTTTGGGGGCTCAGCTGGCGGCGGCGAGTCGGCCGCTCGGCTTGGCTCGTCCTTTGCCGCTCTGCTCCCCTGGGCTTACGCCTGCCGGCAGCCGCGGCCGCCGCTATGCGGCTGCTAGAACCTTCGCTCGTGCTGCGCCAGCCATTTTTGTTACAGCGTTTTTTTATATATATAAAAAAGGTCCTAGTGGCAGTGCCCACAGGACTCCCTGCTGCCCATGTCGGCCCACCCCTTATACGCTTCGTGGCCCCCATAGGGAGCTCCGTCGAAGACGAAACTCACACGCGATGCTCACAACTGCGCATGGTTGGGTCCTTCGCCAGGTTCATTGTTTCTCTCGCTGTGGGGGGGGGAGGGGGGCGGGGAGGGGGGCCGATGAGGCCTCGGAGCTCCAAGAGGACGTTACGGTGGCGCTGGAGAGGCGTCAGGGCGGCATCTCGGGGACCTCGCGGACGCATTGTTGAAGCTCCTCGGGGGCCTCGTGGACGCATGGTTGCAGCCTCTTGGGCGCCGTCGCGGGCCACTCTTCAGTCTCTTGGCTCTTGGGGGCTCCGTGGAGGCTTCCTGGGGCTTCCTGCAGGGCTCGAAAAGGCGATGACGTGAGAAACACAAAGCACACACACACATGGAAAATCAACGCCTTGTGCGTTTTCGGGATAAGGGCGTTAGAGTAAAGGTCTTAGGGCCTTAGGCTTAGGGCGTTTGGGTCAAGGTCTTCGGGTTTGGGTCGCAGGGTTACGGTCTCAGGGTTCGGATATTAGGCTCAGGGCATTGGGCTAACGGTATTAAGGTTCGGGCACTGGGTTAGGGTCCTAGGGTTAGGTCATGTTCCGGTTCGGGTCTGAGGGTTAGGATATTAGCGTTGGGGTCTTAGGCTTAGGGACTTAGGATTAGGATAGTTAGGGCCCTCAGCGCCAGTGCTGCATGCGCGCGTTAGTGGAGCGGTGACCGACGCGCGCTCCAAAAGACCAGTCGCCACCCAGAATGATGGGCTGGCACAGTGGCGGGAGCTGCTGCAGGCAGCTCCTCCTCCTCCTCTTCCTCCTCCTTCTCCTCCTCCTCCTCCTCCCGCTGATCCTCCTCCTCCTTCTTCCTCCTCCTCTCCCTCTCGTCCCTTTTCAAGTGCACTTGCAAGGACAGCGCCTGGGACACCGGCCTGCCTGTCGGGCTCGCCGAAGGCTGCGGGGGGGGCCCTCGTGCGGCGACCGACCGGCAAGCATCGCCAACTTCCGGATCCCCCTCCTCTCCCCTCCCGTCCCTTCCAGGTGCGCTTGCAAAAACACCGCCTGCGACGTCGGCATGCCTGTTCGGCTCGCGGAGGGCTCCCAGGGGCCCTCGTGCGGCGACAGCACAGCAAGTGACGCCAACGATCGAGGCAAGAGGCGGCGGCGCCCCCGTCCCTCGCGAGACTTCAAAATCGGAAAATCGGATCGCATCGTTTTCGTTTGGTTTTCGTTTTCTCTCGTTCTGTCTTCGCTCTGGCTTTGCTGCGAAACGAAATCAGAACGAAGACGGTCAACGAAATGACCAAAACACGTTCAGCTCGAGCCCTGTCGCATCGGAAAATTCGTTTTTGATTGGGATGCATCGGCGCCGGAATCGGCACCGTATCGGGTCGGCCGCGCCGGGATGTACAGCAGCGCCACGAAAACATCGAGCCGCATCGGATCGTTGGCACACGACCGGACCTAAGACATAAGAACGTCCTTCAAGACCATCCTCAAACCAGAAGGTCACCGAGGGTACCCTACGCACAAGCACATACGACGAGCACGAAGAACACGGGGGTGCCCTCCCTGAACTGACATCCATCTACCTCGGTCCGACCGTATCAGGCTCAAACCAGATCGAGCCAACCGAACTCGATATCGAAGCGTCTCGATCGGATCGAGCCTGACCCCGCAGGAGTGCATGACTCACACGTCCACTCCCTGTGCACTTGTCGGCCTCGTGCGTAGAAGGCTCCTCGATGGCCCTCGCCGAGAAAACGTGCACACGTCCGAGCGATGCAAAAATCCGCATCTCCCCCTCCCGCTCCGACGGCGGCCTGCTGAAACTTCTCCTTCAGCTCGCTGTGCCGGCTCTGCTCCTCCTGGCCGACGACCCGGGGGGGAGGCGATCGGATCCACAGCGAAGGATGGGGCACTCAGCACGGAGGCGGGGTGGGCAAGGATCAGCAAACGTCGGATCGGGAGACCGAGTCGGATCGGAACGTGCACCAAATGAGGCCGCATCGGCATGGAGTCGGGTTCGGATCGCCTCGGCCGCGCCAGAATGCGCAGCAGCGCCAGGCAAGCATCGGGCCTGTCTGCGGACGAGCCATGTCTGCAATGAAGGGAAGGGTCGCTGGTCTCGGCCCCATCATGTGACCAACCGATGCTGCCACTCGAGCCTGGGACCTGATCGATGGACTGACGCAGTTCTTGCAATCAGCAGCTGTGTCGCGACAGATTCGGCTGGCGATGGCAGCAGACTTCGCTAGACGAGTGCAAAAACTTCGGCTGCACGCAAAGCGTGTCCGTAAGCTTGTGTTTTCGCAGACTTCCTATAGACCATGATCCCATACATCTTCAAAAACGAGCTGAAACTTTAGAAACCATATACCGATGCATTTTCATAAAATTACACGAAAATCACTCCGACGGAAGGACCCCACATGAGAACCCTCTGGGCGAATCTGGAAAAAACCCTCACCGTCGTCCTCGTGGTTGGTGAGGCGTCCTGGCTGTCTCTTATGCGTATATTTCTTCTCGCCCTGGCGCGGACCCTCCCCCCGCTCCCTACGTTGCCCCCGACCTCGCCCTCCTGTTTTGGCTCCGGACATTCAGAAAGTGGCCTGGGAGTGGTGTTCACACGAAGAACAAGAAGTGGCCTACAGTTGGCTCCGGGCATTCAAAATGTGGCCCGGGAATAGTGTTCTGGAAGCACGAAGAACACGAAGTGGCCTACAGTTGGCTCCGGGCATTCAAAATGTGGCCTGGAAATGGCGTTCTGGCAGCGCGAGAGCCCAACAGTGGCGACAGTTACAAGAATTGGACGGCCCGCTCGGATTAACAACATGATCCGCGGGCTCCATAGGGAGGGGACTCCCGCTTGAGACTTCCTCGCAATTCACTCACACATGTGGCTTGGGAATGGAATTCTGGCAACGCGAGAGCCCAAAAAAGGCGACGGTTACAAGAATTGGATGACCCGCTCGGATTAGTAACATGATCCGCGGGCCCCATAGGGAGGGGGCTCCCGCTTGAGACTTCCTCGCAATTCACTCACAGATGTGGCCTGGGACTGGCGTTCTGGCAGCGCGAGAGCCCAAAACTGGCGACGGTTACGGGAATTGGATGACCCGCTCGGGTTAGTAACATGATCCGCGGGGCCCATAGGGAGGGGGCTCCCGCTTGAGACTTCCTCGCAATTCACTTACAGACGACGCCCAAGGCGAGTGAGTGAGTGAGTGACTGACTGACTGACTGGTGATGATCTGATGAGGATGATCAGCACACTCTCTCACGCGCACACTCATCATCATCATCATCATCATCATCATCATATGTGAGTGCTGGTGGGTCAGTGAGTGAGTGAGTGAGTGAATGAGTGTGTGAGGGATGATGAATGAGTGAGTGAGTGACGAATGAGTGATGATGGTGATGGTGGGTTCCTGTTCCTGCGCGGGGTGTCCAGAGAAAACAAGAACCCCACTTTGGATGTGGGCGATTAGGCGACCCACGCGACAAAAATACAAACTTCAAATCCAAATACATTACGCTACCGAGGAACCCCACATACTTATATTATGGCTGGGGTGATGAGAGCTGAAGTGAAGCATGTGAGAATGATGTTGATGGCCGTTGCCCCGCCGATACCGCTGTGCCCTGGACGACCGTCACGGATAGCGGCCGCGGTGAGAGACCACCCCCTGCGCACCCCCTTATGGTGTCGAGAATATGCCATGCCTGCTGCGCCCTGGACGACCGTCACGGATAGCGGCCGCGGTGAGAGACCACCCCCTGCGCACTCCCTATGGTGTCGAGAATATGCCATGCCTGCTGTGCCCTGGACGACCGTCACCGATAGCGGCCGCGGTGAGAGACCACTCCCTGCGCACCCCCTATGGTGTCGAGAATATGCCATGCCTGCTGTGCCCTGGGCGACCGTCGCGGATAGCGGCCGCGGTGAGAGACCACCCCCTGCGCACCCCCCATGGTGTCGAGAATATACCATGCCTGCTGTGCCCTGGACGACCGTCACGGATAGCGGCCGCGGTGAGAGACCACCCCCTGCGCACCCCCTATGGTGTCGAGAGTATCCCCTGCCTGCTATGCCCTGGGCGACCGTCACGGATAGCGGCCGCGGTGAGAGACCGCCCCCAGCGCCCCCTTCTATGGTGTCGAGAATATGCCATGCCTGCTGTGCCCTGGACGACTGTCACGGATAGCGGCCGCGGTAAGAGACCACCCCCTGCGCACCCCCTACGCTGTCGAGAATATGCCATGCCTGCTGTGCCTGGGCGACCGTCACGGATAGTTGCCGCGGTGAGAGACCACCCCCTGCGCACCCCCGTTGGTGTCGAGAATATGCCATGCCTGCTGGGCCCTGGACGACCGTCACGGATAGCGGCCGCGGTCAGAGACCACCCCCTGCACACCCCCTTATGTGCCGAGAATATGCCATGCCTGCTGTGCCTTGGACGACCGTCACTGATTGCGGCCGCGGTGGGAGACCACCCCCTGCGCACCCCCTTTGGTGTCGAGAATATGCCCTGCCTGCTGTGCCCTGGACGACCGTCACGGATAGCGGCCGCGGTGAGAGACCACCCCCTGCGCACCCCCTATGGTGTCGAAAATATGCCATGCCTGCTGTGCCCTGGACGGCCGTCACGGATCGCGGCCGCGGTGAGAGACCACCCCCTGCGCACCCCCTTATGTGTCGAGAATATGCCATGCCTGCTGTGCCCTGAACGACCGTCACGGATAGCGGCCGCGGTGAGAGACCACCCCCTGCGCACTCCCTATGGTGTCGAGAATATGCCATGCCTGCTGTGCCTTGGACGACCGTCACTGATAGCGGCCGCGGTGAGAGACCACCCCCTGCGCACCCCCTCTGGTGTCGAGAATCTGCCCTGCCTGCTATGCCCTGGACGACCGTCACGGATAGCGGCCGCGGTGAGAAACCACCCCCTGCGCACCCCCTATGGTGTCGAGAATATGCAATGCCTGCTGTGCCCTGGACGACCCTCACGGATTGTGCAGACGTCTTGGGTGTATGATGCAGTGAACATGCGTTTTGTGTGTGCGAGTGCGTGCATGCGTGCGGCTGTATGTAGACGCGTGTCTCATGTACTTGCCGTGCATGTGTTGACCACGGGTTGAGGAGAGGAATGAAAAGGAGGAGGGGGGGGGGGGGGGGAGACACGGGTGCGCCGCGGCAGGGAAGAAAACCAGAACCCCACGAAACATGCGGGGAATAATCTGCCCCCAAAAAATACACCCCGCGGGCCAGACCTGCTCCTACGCCAAAGCCGCAATGGCATTCGATTGCTGACCCCTATTGCCAACCAGAACGCGAGCCGAGGTGCAGGGGCGCCACGCGGCGACTCCAGGTTCAGGCCCTGGCATCTCGACACCGAACAACAATCTGGAAACGGCCCCTCTGGGCGCCCACTGCCCACAGATTGCGGTTGCCACGCTTGGGGGATCTCATCACGTTGGGCCTCTGTTGCAGTAGCGGGCGCGATGTTTACCTGAGACTAAGGATTAGATGCATGATGATGCGCATGCTGGGTGATGATGCCTACATAACAGTAGTAGAGGATGCCAACTTCGCGACTGCCGCCACTCGTTGGCTCCTGAGAGGCCCAAACGGGCACGGGGCGAAGCATGCCCAGATGACAACTCCATGAGCTGCCGCCACCTTCGCAGGCACCTTGGAGAGCGAGAGGGGCAGAGACGCGCGGGGCCACATGAGCCCATCTACCCGCGCATGCATCTGCAGGAGGGCAGGGGGCTGCGGTGATTCGCCGAACGCGTCTTCACAAAGGGGGCCCTGGCGCCTCCAATCCTTGCCCACATGTTCCGCCTGGGTCTAATCTTCTCTATCGTGCAATGCGCCCCCCCTCGCTCTCAGGAGGTAATTGTTTCCCCCAGCGAGGCCGGGCGGCCCGGCCACATCGGCCACCGTCGTCTCGGAGAGGCTGGGCGGCCCGATCACTTCGACGTCATCACCTGGAAGGCGCGCTGGAACCTGGTCGCGTGCAGCGACGTCTTCTCCTGCGCGCCGTAGCTGCGTCGCTTCCTGATGGCCGTCTGGATATCCACGCGCTGCTCTGTCTTCTCGACGCTATCGTTGGCGATCGCAGCGCAGATCAACTGCTCCGTCATGGCGTTCACCAGCGCCTGGAGGAAGATGATGGCCAGCTTCGCGTGCTCCGTCTCGGGCCCCGTGTGGCCAGCGTCTTGAAGGCCGTCTTTAGTCGTCGCGTTAGGCCTGGCAAGCGTCTGCCGCCTCGCCCGCCGCGCCGAGGTCCACTCCCTTCACCTTCACCTCGCAGGCTGCCGCGAGCTCTGCCCACGAGCAGCCGTTCTCGGGCCTCCACGTCACCGCCGAGACATCGGCCTGAGGGGCGTAGATGTCTTTAAAGGTCGACCGCGCCGCCGCGGTGGCGCCTTGCAATGCAAGCTCGGCTGAGGCCACGGCGGCGGCGTGCATCTCCTTGTCGGCTATCTGCGCGAGCTCCCTGACCTCGCCGACAAGCTCGAGCACCCTGTCGACTGTGACATCGGAGGTCGCTGATCTCCTGTGTCACGGCGTGCTCGAATTCCTTCGCGCGGCAGAGGGCTCGGCGCATATTTGTCGCCATCTCTTTTCTGCCCCTCGGTAGTGGATGATGGAGCGCCGCCGCCCTTCATGGCTTTCATCTCCTGAAAACTGAGGCGGCATGTGAACGACATCTGCGCGACTTCGAAAAGATTATTGAGCGCCGGGCCCTTCGCGGGGGCGGTGTCGCTCAGCGTCGGCCCCGCATCTACGAGCACCGAGCCGATCTGGCTAGCGTAGTCTGCGGAGATCCAGTCCAGGAGCGTCTTGCAGGCCAACGGG